TTATTCTTAAATTCTTAATGAAATAGCTGATGTTAAAATATTTCTGTATTTTTGTTCTGTTGAAATAAAGCGTATTGCTGTTCAGAAGCATAATATTGATCAGAAATTAGCTCAGTTTGAATAGATAATTTCGAATATTAATTTAGATAATTTAGAATAATCCTCTATTTTAGTCTATTCAAATAAACTGCAGTGTGAATATTAAACAATTGATATCATTATTCTTAAATTCTTAATGAAATAGCTGATGTTAAAATATTTCTGTATTTTTGTTCTGTTGAAATAAAGCGTATTGCTGTTCAGAAGCATAATATTGATCAGAAATTAGCTCAGTTTGAATAGATAATTTCGAATATTAATTTAGATAATTTAGAATAATCCTCTATTTTAGTCTATTCAAATAAACTGCAGTGTGAATATTAAACAATTGATATCATTATTCTTAAATTCTTAATGAAATAGCTGATGTTAAAATATTTCTGTATTTTTGTTCTGTTGAAGTAAAACGTATTGCTGTTTAGAAGTATAATATAGATCAGAAATTATTTCAGTTTGAATAGATAATTTAGACATCTTGCTATATTACTTTCCTACTTATTTTAAATTTAAAAATTATTGATTTATGCTTAATATTTTGACATTTTAGTTACCTTTTTTTTCTTCTCTAATCTGCGTAAATAGTGAAAATTACTTTTCAAGAATAAGCTATACCGTTTGAGAAGCGCTTCATGGCGATTTCTGCTTTACCTGCATTGGTAATTTGAAATTTTAAGTAACTAAAAAGTGAGTTCACTGAAACCAAACATCTAAATACAGGGTAATTATGGCATCATTTCTCAGCGTTATACCGTAAGAGAGTAATTCTGACACAACTTGGTTGCATTTTGGTATTTAAAAATAATAATAATAATAAAAAGATTCAACACTCTAAAAACGCTTTGACGCTTGGTTTACCTGAACCCACTTTTTTCTATAATTTAAATTTCAGATTATTAATGAAGGTAAAACATAATTTACCATGAAGTGTTACTTCCGCGTCCTATTATTAATTAAACTTATATTACTTTAACTTACTTTTTTATATACTTTAAATTTTAAATTACTAATGCATAAAAAACAGAATTTGGCTTAAAGCGTTTCTCCGCCTTTTTAGCGTCCTATTAAGAATCAAACTTCTTCATTTTTAATCTTTCTTTTTTATACTTTAAATTTTAAATGAATTATGAAACTGAATTTGTCAAGAATAGTTTTTCCTGCGTTACAGCGTCCTATTAATAATAAAACCATTACTTCTCATACCTTCTTACTTTTTTCTATACTTTAAATTTTGAATTAATAATGTAGGTAAAACAGAATTTACCAAGAAGCGTTACTTCCGCATAACAGCATCTTATTAATAATTACACTTATTTACTTTTACACACTTTTTTCTACACTTTAAATTTTAAATTACTAATGTATGCAAAACAGAATTTGTCATGAAGCGTTTCTCTCGCATTACAGTTTCCGATTAATAATTAAACTTATTTACTTTTACTCACTTTTTGCTATACTTTAAATTTTAAATTATTAATGTAAGCAGCACAGGATTTGTTCTAAAGCATTTCCCTCCCATTATAGCATCCTGTTAATAGTTAAACTTATTTACTTTTAATATGCATGATTAGTGAAGTAAATTCTCAGCTAGTTTATATGATTAAAATAAATCTCATTTAATTTCAGAAAAAGTCACCTTTCAAATAAGTGAAAAGCAACATCATAAACTACAGAGTGGTTGATCATGAATTGTAATAATTCGGATGAAATATAAAGACTGTAACACTTGAATCTGAAAACCAATTCTTATTTCCAATGAAAGAACACAGTTTCAACCAAAATTCACGGCAAAACGAAACAAATTCAAAACTTTGGCATCAGAAAATTATAAAAGTTTACCCTATACATAATGTAAGAAACGAAGTATTTAGAAAAGCAAATAAATCTTCAAAACTGGGTCATATCGTCTCGAATAAAATTCTGAAGAAATCATCAGTTTTTGCCATTTCGCAGATTGGAAGAGCAAATACGCATGTTCACAAAGTAATTTGGTTCCTGATTCTTTTAATAAGTTTAATTGGCTGCGTCTATAAAACTCAAGAATATTTTTCGATTTTCTTCACTTACCCAGTGGTGGTTTCACTTCAAGAACCCCAACAGCGAATACTAAACTTTCCAGCTGTTACAGTTTGTAACTTAAATCGAATGAAATTAATGTATGAAAATTGCGTTAATACTGATATTTTGGAAAAAGGATGTCAACCCCCAAGACCTATCTTGTCACGTTCATTAACAATATCGGAACGCCGTAGCCTTCTATCATGTTCTGGGGCAGTTAGCAAAAATTATAGCACAGAAACAAGCCAAAAGCTAGATTTCCTTGCCAAATATATGAAAATGGATAGCAAAAATCGCCAATTTGTTGGACATAAAGCTCAAGATATAATCAAATATTGCTCTTTTGAAACGCAAGCATGCTCCTTTCAAGATTTTGTCCATTTTCAGAATTTGAGGTATGGTAATTGTTTCACATTCAACAAAGCAACTCAGAACATCACAAACCTTTTACAGTCAACAAAAATTGGATACAAAACTGGCTTAGAGCTGCTGTTAGCTTCAGAATTAGAACATTACATGCGTGCCTCTCCAACCATTGGAATGAGAGTTTCAATCCATGATGCTTTGCAAATACCTGTTCCAGAAGAGTATGGAGTAGATGTTAGTCCAGGTTTCGAGACCTCCATTGCTATTAAACAAATGGTTATTCAACGTCTACCAGCACCATATCGTGATAAGTGTATAGATTACACAACTCGCACCAATCAAAGTAATGAAGAAGAATGCATGAGGCTATGCGTACAAGAACATAGCTATAAAATATGCGGTTGTCTGGATCCAACAATACCATCAATGCTTAACGAAGAACATTGTGATATGAAAAACGAAGATAATGTGTGCTGCTTGGATAATGTTCAAGACCGTATCACCCAAAATAATTTATCTTGCAATTGCCCATTATCATGCTATTCAGTGCTTTATGAGAAAGAGATTTCAAGAGCTCTTTTACCTACTGAACCGTATAATTACACTGGTGACGTAAATAAGAATTCTAAAATGAAGTATGTCCGAATAAAAGTGTTTTATTCTAGTTTGGTGCAGGAAATATACACCCAGCTTCCGATGTTTGAAAGATCTGAAATTTTCAGCAATTTAGGTGGAGAGCTGTCCTTGTGGCTCGGTCTTTCTTTGTTAGCTTTGTTTGAATTTATAGAAACGGTAATTTATTTTTTAAATATATGCAGTAGAACCTATAAAAATAATTAAATTATACTTTTTTAGGAATCTTAGTCATAAAGATACCACTTATCTCAAAAACGACCGATCATTTGTTCTTCAACAATCGACACTTCTGACTCAAAACGTTATACAACAAATGCCTTCTGATCCATATCAGATTAGTTGCCTACAAATTGCGCGAACGTCTTAGTTTTATGTCAAGTGGCTTAGCAATGTTTTATAGGTTTTCAGAACCATCTGTTGACGCACTTTGTAACTAATTTCGGAAATAAAAATATTTTTTTCGTTTGATTACTTTAGCATAACGCAGGGCTGTCCAACTGGCGGCCCGCGGGCCGCATGTGACCAGCCAACACATATTGTGTGGCCCGCCAACTTCTTATTCAGTCTGATCGGCCTCAGTTTTCCCATTAAAATGTAAGCAAATTGTTTTATAATCCTTCTGAACCATTGTTTTATAATTAATAATTCAACTATTAATTGTTATTGTATAAGAGGTAAGATAAGAGGTAAGAGGGTATTGTTCAACTTTTTCAAACTGCGGCCCACCAGGTGATCGGTGAACGGAATTCTGACCCTTGGGCTCTTTGCAGTTGGACATCCCTGGTATAACGCAACAAAATGTGCATTTCTGTTTGCTTCAGTTTTTCTTTAATTAATTTTTGAAATAATTGGTTAATTCGACTGGCACCCGGTATAGTGCTTAAGTATCTAAGTATCTTACTTAATCATCTAATCAAAACGCATTTTGAATTTGAATTTTAATCTCAAGCGAGATTAACTAAGTAGTATAAACAATATTGTTTTATTTAAGGATAGCATTAAAAATATTATACAATGAAACTATAAAAATTTACATTCTTTTCAAATTTGATTTCTTTTATTTGCTCTTTTAATTTACATTTTGTCTCCGCATTAATATCAATATTCAATTTCAGGCGAAAATAAGTACGAGATATTTTATTTTATCTTGTCTGTTCCTTAAATATAAATTTTCAGTTCTAATCAGAATTGAATTTTATCTCGATCCAGGCTAATTAAAGAACTATTTAAAATTGAAAGTATTATACACTGAAATCATGAAATCGTGCATGCTTTTCAAATTTTATGCTTTTATCTTACATTTGTCCTTTTGGTAAAAATATTCTCTCCCCATCATAATTGATATTTAAATCAATGCAAAGATAAAAAAAAATACTAAACAATTTTATTTTGAATTGAAAAAATATTTTACTTTTTGCAAAATATTAAATTATAAAGAAAAAAACAGAGAGGACTCGATGACTCGATACAGTTAAGAAAACATTACATGAAATTGGAGTCAACCGTTGAAGAACGGTAGCAGCTGATAATTCCTAATGAAAGAAACTTTTGAAGACAGCCTTGGTTTGCAACAGGCTGTAGTGCTTCAGAAGAGGAATATATCACATTATACTCAAACTATGTCAGCAAAGCCTCCATCAGCAATGTTTGGAGTTTAACTTAATGTTACATTTTGTTTTTCTGCCCGGAAACTATAATACTTAGAAGCGAGAAATTTTGAAGGTGTTATGGAAGATTTAATAAATCTTATCAAATCATTTAAGATCTCGTTAAGTAATTAGAAAACATTGGAAACAATGTCCATTGAAAGGTAACTTTTTAAATTTTAATATTAAAAGAGAGGGAAAGAGATCACTTGTTTTGCAGAGATAAATGTTAACATTCACGTTAAAAATTTTAAAAGATATTTTTAAAAAAAATAGTGCGTGGAGTCCCTCCGCGGGGAAGAAGTGAAACTTCGTAATGTGGAAATGAAAATAGGAAGGGGTTGAAATTGATTTTTAGAGAAATCATATTGTTTCTCTAAGACAAACTTTATTAACAATGCTTACAATTCACAATTGATCGCATCTTTTAATTATCATTTTTGAGTGGAGAAATATCCAAATTTATAACATTTACAATGGGATTATGATAACTGAAGTAAGATACGAAATGTTTGAGTTCTATTTTTTCAATATTTTTTGCAAAAACTGCATCAATGGTAGTTAACTCTTTGGTTGTTGGATCATTCCTACCATTTATCATTTACAATCCAAATTTGTCTTTAAGGAAGGTAAATAATGTTTCAGCTTCAGGAAACGAGAAATTTACATTAAAATCTCATGCAAGGATCACAGGCCGCTCACAATAATCAATTACTTCGCCAGTAACGTCTGCCAGAGCTTGTGAACCTGCAGTGGATAGTGGCAATAAAAATTTTGCAATAAATAATTTAATATCCCTCATGGTTGCATTTGGGGAAATATAAATAGTAATTAGAAAAGAGAAAACCTAACAATCAATTGATATTCACAAGAGACGTACCTTGACATAACCTTAAATCCGTCGCATTGTCCGTGGGATTGTTTTCACTCATTTTTTACAATTGGGTATAATACACTGCTGGACAATTGCTAAGGACGGATCACAAATTGCAATGTAGCATAACATTAAGCGAGACATGAGGCCTAGTAGGATAAAATATAGTTGCCACACTGTTCAGACATTGGAATAAGGAATATTCATTGTTCTGGAAAGTACAAAAGCTATGAAACATCTGAAAGAAAAAAAAAATTTCATTTGATGCTGCGTACGGAAAAATGGAACAATGCATCTAAATGTCAGCAGGCAACTTGAAGAAAGGTGCCAGTACGGGATATGTCCACTGTGGATTGGATGCAACATTCTACACGTCGTATCATACTTTGCACAACATTATCCAGCAG